CAACCCAAGGGTTACCTCACTAAATAGTGATAGCCCTCACACAAATAACACAGAGTGTCATGCAAAACAGGGTCAATCTAACGATAGGGAAATTACCCTCACGAGAAGAAAGAAGAGCAGCCTTGGAAAGATGTCAACGCAGGATGAAAATGAAAAATAGAAAACCAGAACAGGTACTTGAATAATATCAATTGATACAAGCTGTGAGAGAACATAGTTTATAAATGTGTGTTTCACCAGAGGATCATGAGATCTTATCATAAAAATTCCACTTGTTTTTTAATGTGGTTTTTTTCAATGACTGTATATTTGAGGTGCAAGTTTAATCTGGTTTTTTGTTGATTATTACACGTATGTCAAATATTGCCGAGACAAGGTCTAGTTAACAAACTGTCTCTACTTATGGATGCAAAAGAACCATGCATACTGTCAATGTCTCCTGATTTGGAAAGAGGCTTTCACTTTGAAATGAATCCTTATTGCATGTGCCTGCTTGACATGTACACCCCTACATGTAGCTTAACTTCTTTAGAGGTTCTCACATATGTCTGTGTAAGTACGTATCATGCAGCTTTCAACCTGGCCAGACCTTACATTACTGAGCTCTGATGTTACCTCACACTGAGAAGCAGCCTTGATGTTAATGGCACAGATACTGCTGAATGTGCCACAAAACCTACCCAACCAAATATGTATCTGTAACTTGCATTGGCTATAATACACAGAATAAAGACTTGTGAGTGCATCTCTTCATGATTTATGCTTCAGGTGAGGAGATCAATTTCAGCAGAGGGTCTGATAAAACTTGGAGCTTCAAACACTGGTGAGGCCAATGTAGAGCCTAATTCTACCATTCACACTGCAGATGATTGTGTGAAAGCAACACAAACACAGACTCATCTCACAGCAAGTGACATTGAAGGTCTAGAGAGTACCAACAGGCAGTTGCCGACACAAAAACACAATCTTCAAAAAAAACCCAGCCGACTTCGAATTGGGACCAGAATTATTTCAAACTAACCAAGAGAAACTTCGAGTATATACTGGCCTTCCTCACTTCAGTTTGTTTATCGCCATCTTAAATCTTATTCTCCCGAATCTTAACAGACATACCAACTGTTTATTGTCTCCATTTCAGCAGCTTTTGTTGACTCTCATGCGATTGCGTTTAAATGCCACAGTCCAGTATTTGTCTTTTGTTTTTAGAGTTCACCACAGCACTGTTGTAAGAGTATTTTCAGACGTTATAAATGTTTTAAATGAAAAATTTGTTCCTTTGACAGTATTCTGGGCTGAGAGACCTCTACTCCAAAAAACTCTGCCTCTAATTTTTAAAGAAACATCTTCAAAATGTGTGTCTATTATTGATTGTTTTGAAATTTTCATAGACAGACCCTCAAACTTGGACGCAAAAGCCAAAACTTATTCCAATTATAAATCTCATAATACTGTTAAGTTTTTAATTTCAATGTCTCCGCAAGGTTTCATCAATTTTGTTTCTAAAGGTTGGGGTGGTCGCACAAGTGATAAGTTTTTAACGGAACATTGTGGTTATTCAAACTTATTATGGCCAGGTGACACAGTGTTGGCCGACAGAGGTTTTAACATTGAAGATGTCATTGCTAGCTATGGGGCAAAGTTGGAAATTCCATCTTTCACCAAGGGTAAAACTCGACTTAGGAAGAAGTCAGCAAAACCAGGAATTTAGCCTCTGTAAGAATCTATATTGAACGAGTTATTGGTAACTTGAGAACAAAATATCCCATTCTTGAAAGCATAATTCCAATCACACTGTAGCAATCTGATCAAGATAGTAAGGTAACAACACTGGACAAAATAGAGTAGCATGTGGCTTAGTCAATATATGCGAAATCGGTTGTTCCTTTTTATAGAATATTTCAGACTTCCAATTCAATAATTACAATCCAACATAACCCAAGTGTACAGGAGACCACTGTAGCATAAAGGCAAAAGTGTATAATTTTTTTTTGTAGAAATCTGGCCTCTCACTTCATGAAATTTGGAACAACTCAAGGAGTCATGGTATAGAGTACGAACATGAAAATTATTTGCAGTTCGAGACCAAGCTGAATTGCTTCATTTCAAAGATTCAAGTTGACTAATGTATCAAGAAAATAGATTTAAGAATAGTAAGAAATAAAGCTGCATTGGAGCTATTAAATTATAGCTTAAAAGTATATTTCTGTGAATTATTTTTTTGGAGGCAGTAAGTTAAAATAAACCGAATTATACCTAAGATGCATAGCCTGTAATCATTTGGTTTATTTCCTGTGTCATTTTCAAGTCGGAATCTGTAGACAGTAAATCGGATTATTAAGGCCTATGTAAAATAATTCATGTTCACTGTACACGTATGCTGGATCCTTTTCACATCAATGAATTGTGAACCTAGCTGTTATGCCTCTGATAACTTTGCAGAAGTTCTACAATCTGGGCAGAACCACTTTTTCTTCTTGGGTTGCGTTTTCAATCCTAAGCATGCTAGGTGAAACTTCTCAAATTTACATGATGTGGAGTCACACCTGAGCATTGTACCGTCTGTCTTTCTCCTGCAGTAGCAAAATACATTGGTGAAGTTTATGCCCTTTTCAACAAGAACTTCTTTGCTGTGTCCTGGGAATTTTGTAAAAAATTTGGCAACACTGCTGGAACTCCATGCAAGTACATCTCCATTGGCCGTCTTACACATTCATTCCACAAATCGCCGTCTAGGTAGATTCTTTCTATGTGTAATGACTTGGGGCCCCAAACAACAAAGTCACAATGTGACCTTCTTGAAATGTGAATTTGGGACTGGACTTGAAAAAAATATGCATGATCGTGATTAAGGTACTGATCTCCAGCCTCATTGCTTGTTAGACAAAACTGTTCTCCCTTATTAACAACCTGTTCTTGGATACACTTCCTTTCTAGGCATAGTGGACACTTGATTTCTAGTACTCCTTCTCCACAGCATTTACAAGATACAAGCCCATCTGGTGAGGCACCTAAATAAGGATACTCTGGACTAACAAATAACCCTGCTCTTGAAACAGTGAATCCTGAATGACAGTTTTTCATGTGATTCCGGTATTTGTTACATGCTTCTTCCTCATGCTCACATCCCCACCTACACAAACATAAGAACAGAATATTTCTACTTCAAAATAATGGAATAATTAAATACTATCAAATGGACACTATTTCAGTGCTTGTGAGAAACGAGATGACCAAACTTGCACATGCGTTTTAAAATTGGTCAAGAGATGTTTATGTACTTTTCAGATAAAAATCCAACCTCCATAAAAAATAATCTGAACTTAATGTATGCATGTTGCTGATATGGCAGAAGTCAATCTCACCTTGTAACCTTTATTGTAAACTTGTAGTTCTCAGGGTAGCAGATGGACTTGATCAACGACAGTGATGGCAATAGCTGGATCAGTTCTTACTGTAGCCTTCATTTTAGATGCTGTTATCCTTCCTCGTCTTTGCTGAAACCAAAGTTTACTAGCTGCCTGTGACCTTGTTAGTGAGTCAATAGCCTCAACCTATGAAAGCAAAGTTTACAACACATTCCAATTAATAGGACTGTCTTGCTGGCAGAACAATGGAAATATGTAATTTCCTCCCTTGTTTCATTTATTAAGCTTATTGTGTGAATTTAATATAGGCTTATTGGATGATTTTGCTCACATGCAACCACTCAAAATCAACTGATAAGGGGCTTGCTATATGCACTTTAGTCATGATTGGTCTTAATTTCTAAAGTTATACTCATCAAGATTATCATGATCATCATAGGGTGCGTTCGATTAGCTTCCCTGAACACACCAGTGTTACACTCAAGGGAAGCCTCAAAATGAGGCTTATCGAACGCTGCAGTGTGTTTTCCAAGGCATTCTGGGAAAAAGATCAAGTCCCCGCCTCGTTCCATCACGTACATCTATGCTCGGACAGTCCATCCGTGACGTCATTACAATAGGGCAGCCTCCAGAGACCTGCTCACCAGCTGGGGTAGTGGTGGCTGACACCAGGGCAGGCACGAACATCACATGATGGCTAAACGAACGCTCTCGTGTAAGTTTGACTTACACGTGTAAGCTAATCGAACGCACCCATTATTAGATTACATCAAGGATTATGTATTGGAATAAATGGACTGAATAAATTACCTCCTCTGGAGAGACAGTCATGGTTGTCAGAATTTCAGAACGTTTGTCTAATAGCTCTGGAAAGGTCATCTCCAAGGTAGCAGCATCATACAATCCAGTCAGAGGAGCTGGGAGTCAATGTGATGTACACGGTATGAAACTCTGGTTGTACTCTGGCATAACAGAGAGTATAGCACTTTTGACCCCTGCCATGAGACAAGAAAATTTCAATGAGTCCTAAAAACCCTTTACATTATAAAGGTCAAATACCAACCAATCCCAATACTTTACTAAAATAGAGACACAACTGCGTTTATTTTACAAAACCAACCTGAAGCACTCAATTCATCATAGAATGTTTTCTTCTCTTCTTCTGTTGCCCTGGGAGTGGAAGCACGTCTCTTGTCACCTTGTTTCTTTTTCTCAACTATCTATAAATAAATTTGTTCATTTTTGTCAACAGTTAAATTCTAAAAAGTCATTGGAAAATACATGATGAAAAATGCATGGATTAAATATTGAATCGAATCAAATCGAATCGAATTGAATTCAATTCAATATTAAAGTCATACTTCCAGGCTCCAAGCACAATCTCAGTTTATATTTGTCTCTTGACTGCATGCGGCAGTGTTGGCAGTTAGGATGTAAACTGAACAAAATCATGCAACACAAAACTCAATCTTTCTTTAAATTACTAAATAAAACTTATACAGTACCTAGGACAAAAGGATGAATTTGTCCTTCCTTTAACAAACCATTAAGCTCCTCACCCATCCTGCCTTGAAAAATTTGTATGCATCAAGATTCTTGTAGGCCTTCAGAGACTGTCCATTAAAGCCTGCATAGCACAGCATGTAAAAAAGATGTCAAGAATGCAACTTCCAGTAAGCTGACAAAGGCTACCTGTACTGTTCATTTTATTCCATTTTCATGCTGAATTCTGTGAAATGAATTAATAGCCTCTATAGGGGACAGAATTGCCATCAAACTGGTAACCAGGTGCGTTCACTGAATTCCATACCTAAAATGTTCAAGCTTTATAATTGCCAATGCATGAGTAGGCCTATTGTAACTTAAGTTCAGGCCAAGCCTGAGCTTGTGGTCTGGATAGTTGTTGCAATTAAGGATGCTGCCCGTCACCGCATGGAAGTAAACTTACAAGGAATACGTTACTCACCGGGTGTGTTTATCAAGTAGTGATAAATGTCGGGATATGCTACATCTGGCAGCTCTTAGTACAGTCTAACGCTGCCTTTACATCTTTAAGACATATTAGGTAGGGATCGACCCCAACACAACTTGTTTTATCCACGTATCGTGCTTTAGCTACAGAACTGAGGGATTTCACGTAATCGCACAAAAGATACCCTGCCATTTTTGTGGTGATACATGTACGAAACTGTTCACGTTTCGATTCAGCCCGTCGAGGTACATGTAGTGATGTGCTAGCTCCACTAGTGAGGCACGGACTCACACTCCAGATATTTCCTTAGCCACACATCCGTATACGCAATTTCGTGTCGGCGTATTGAACATTTCGGCGCACCTACTTACCATCGTGGGTGCAATTTCCTTTGCAAGAGAACATGATTCTTGACCTTTCTGCTTTCTAAAAACCATTTATTAAATGATTTCACTCACGTTATTCAGGTATGTTACAGTCCTTTTGCCTTTATCCATTCAATCTAACGGGCTCGCTCTCACAGTCGCCATCATCTTTAAAATAAGATCGTTGAACATATACGTCACTTGATCCCTCATCGTTTTGCCAGCTCTTCCATGTCAAGACATCTAAACTGCTGCCAAAGTTTTGGAAGAGCCCATTGGTACATGTAGTGTCTTATCGCTCAGTCCGTGTATTACATACGTCTTGACATGGAACAGCCGTCGAGACGATCAGGGGTCAAGTGACGTAATGTTCAACGACCTTATTTTAAAGATGGCGACTGAAAGGGCGTGGAGGTAGGAAAACCTCCATAGTCCTTGTACTCGGACACCAGCTGTACTCGACTGGCAAAGTACTCGACCTGTTTTTGTGCTCGGCAGTCAAAGTACTCGGCAGTACTTGGTACTCGGAAAAAGTGCTCGACTACAACACTGCATATTTCTGCGCACGAGCTCATTAATATTTTGTGATCCCACGGGGTTTTTACAATAAGACATGCCATAATCAGGAGGGATCATAGAAACATTTCTATAAATCCCGAATTTGGGAATGATAGTCTCCAGTTCGGGGTATTTCTTTCACAAAAAGCCCCAAATTGCCGGCCTATTTTCGATAGAGTCGGGCGGCTGCATTCAGAACTGAGCACATTTCGTGGCTAACCCCCATAAAATTGATACGAAAAGTGATCTTCTAGCCATAACCTTGAATTTCCGGTGAAAACAACGGAGGCCAACTTATTCACGTGATCGAGAGTCAACAGGCTGCGCTATTTCGGTCTAGTGATTTTGCACTGTTTTCTATGCGCGCATATTCGGTGAAATGCAAACCCTGTAGGGATACTTTCTGGGCGTAAGCCGGGTATGGTCATGATTAATATAGCACAGACGTAAATATGAATAAAACAACATAGCTGTTTACTATACTGCATTCGTCGTGCACGACGTCACCAGGACGTGCTTTTTCCCAGATGTACATGTACATGTTATGGTGTACTATTTACGACAAACATTTCTCTCTCTCTCTTTTGCCTCTCTCCAGGCGACGCAAACAGACGACGCGACGGCACGACGGCTCTCTTGCGTCGTGCCGTCAGGTCGCACCGTCGCCTTCTTGCCATTACGTTTGTACACACACGACGCGTCGCGTCGTGCCTTCGCCCGTCGCGTCGTGCTGCCTGAGATCCTTTCCATGTTGCATTTTTTGCCGCCTAAACGTTGCTATGGTGTACTATTTACGACAAACATTTCTTTCTCTCTCTTGCCTCCCTCCAGGCGATGCAACCAGACGACGCGACGGCACGACGGCTCCCTTCCCTTACAAAAATGTCCCATGCAGATCCCATGGGCTGCCCATGGGCTGCCCCTGGGACCCCATCTGTGTGCCATGGGACTGGTAAAAATAATGTTTGTTGAAGTGATCACCATGGGACGTTTTGTGGATACCATGGGAACACTATGAGGCTTTTATGTTTAGCATTAGAACACCATGGGGTTTTTATAATCAACATGGGAACACCATGGGGTTTTTATGATCAGCACGGGAACACCATGGGGCTTTTATGATTAGCATGGGAACACCACTAGGGTTTTTATACTCTACATGGGAATACAATGCGATTTGTATGCGGACTCCATGGAAACGCCACACAAACACTGTTCAAATTTTTGCAATCATCAAGAGAACACTGTGATTTGCATTGATATGGCATATACACAGGTACACTTAGAGGCATTGTTGTATTGTAAACCACGTTAGCTGCTGCCATTAAAATGCAACATTGGCATGAACTACAGTACACAGTTTGGAATGGAATGTTGACTGGATGACTTCAACTTTGCCCGTCACCATGAGATGCACAGGACACTCACCATGGGAGGCATGGGTAAATCACCATGGGACGCAAGGAATAATTGACATGGAACAATCACCATGGGATGCAAGGGACAATCGACATGGGAAAATCACCATGGGACGCATGGGAAAATCACCATGGGATGCATAGGACAATCACCATGGGACAAATGGGCAACCACCATGGGACAAATGGGAAAATCACCATGGGATGCATGGGACAATCACCATGGGACGCATGGGACAATCACCATGGGACAATCACCATGGGACGCATGGGACAATCACCATGGGACAAATGGGGCAACCACCATGGGATTCATGGGAAAAACACTACGGGACACAAGGGCGAATCACCATGGGACACATGGGTAAATCACCATTGGATGTGTGGGAAAATCACCATGGGATATGACAATTAAATCATCATGGGAATATTTGGGGAGATTATATGGGGTTCTTGAAGTACGCATGGGCAAAATCCCATGGGTAAAAATCCTATGCTGCATGGTGGCCAATTCACCATGTAATCCCATGGGAAATTTTCCCATGGGATACCCTCATGGAACATTTTTGTAACGGTTGCGTCATGCCGTCGGGTCGAACCGTCGCCTTTTTGCCATTTCGTTTGTACACATACGACGTGCCATCGTCCGTCGCGTCGTGCTGTCTCAGGTATTTTCCATGTTTAATTTTTTCCCGCCTAAACTTCGCCCCTTCTGTCGCCCGTCGAGTCGTACCGTCGTGCGTGGCACGTCGTGTCGTGCATCGCCTTTTACGTCACCTGAAGCGCGACGCGCGACACGACGCGACGCGTCGTGCGCTGTCGCCCTTTGCTTCATGGTGTTTATAGAGGGCGCTTTTACTGTTTTCTTTCATTTCTGTCCCCCGTGCTTGCAAAGTACATGCTATTCACTCTTTGGTGTTGATTTGTTCTTGTTTTTATCTCATCCATTCCTCGATTAGAATTAATTTCTGTCATGTTTTATTAAGAAAAACAAAAAAAGAGCAAAAAGAAAATCGGCATATGTAGGAACTGCTCTATAATACCCTCAGAATATTCCGTCTTTGTCTTCCTTCAGGCCAGTCTTCCTCGTTACCGTCATCAGCACCACACCTTCAATGATATTAGTCGGTGTTTCTGAATAAAACATTATACAGACGCTATTATCATTGTGGCCGTGTCTTTTTTTTTTCAACTCTGTTTGTCCACACACGTATAATTTCTCCTCTAATCCGCATCTTACATTAGCAAGCACGTTATAATGATTGATGTACTGTATCTTAGAATAGATTTAAAAATATTGTAGCGGACATAATATGAGAATCACCTGCTTACATTATTTATTTGTTTACTAGTTTACGCCTTTTATTATCAACTAACCAGTGAGAATTAATTCATTTCCGGCTAATATAGTGAAAAGTTTTCGCACGGTTTACGAAGATTCAAATACCCTCACGTTAGAGAAAGCATCTTTTTGATAATGAGAAAAAAACAGGGATTCTATTTAACAGAAAACATTGTGAATAAGCAATGAAAATAGATAAAGGGCCTAGCTTGAAGACGATCTATTGCTGAAGTTGGGGACCAGACTTGGCTTGTTTTGACTTGGCAAGTACTAGCTGTAGAGTTTGCAGTAGAAAGGCTTGCAGTGTGGGCTATATGATGTTTAGGGTTCAAGTCTTTCCTTCCCCTTGACTAAATCAGGTTTCGGAACGGAATTCATGTGGCTCTGGTCCAGGCCACCCACTGTCTAGCAACGTATGCACGTATGGTTCAATAGGCTTACACTGGTAATGTGCCTGGAACAGGACACTGAGGGACGAATTTGTAAGTATGGCAGGTTCGATGGAAGGAGAAATCACAGAGAGACAACAGAACAGTCTCTGTTTAGTCCAGTAGCCAAGTAAAGTGGAAGGTCACTGGCTAGGGAAATTATCAGCTCCTTCTGAAAGACTCTTGTTGCAAGTTCTGCCACCAACTGCCACACGCACTGTCACTAAGATAAATTATCTCAGTATCTGAACAAGTCAGATGGCACTCACAGAGCGCCGTACCAGATAGCGTCTCCCGTGTTTTTCTTTCGTTGAAAAGTGACATCATCTGTTAACGCATGGATTTACAGTCACTTCGCCCCATTTCCACTTCGCCCCTGACTGCTTTGCCTGCCCCTAACCACATCGCCCCATTGCAACGTCCCATATCCCCACCTCGCCTCATCGCCATTGGTCGCAATATAAACTTTAACGTCATTTGGTTTAGTTTTAACCTACTGGTGTAAGTTGCAACGTCGGCAGTTTATCTGCCCAACCAAACTAAAGGTTGAAATTCAGGCAGTTTTCCAAAGAAATATTTTTACAATAAAAATGAACGGTCTGTAGGCATCAAGCCTACACCATGTGGGGCGATACGGAGTCACGTCATGCGGCGAGCTAGGTGGTAGGCCTAGGCCTAAATGCGGTGAACTCCTCGGCGCGGCGCCGTAAGGTGTGAAGCTGAAATCGTACCATGATCAACCTCATACTAGTACTAGCCGGCTAGTACTAGCCAGGTACTGGTCAAAGTGTCCGTGCTCTTCTCAAGAAATGATCATCTTGTACCCACATAACCAATCACTCCAGGGGTCGTTTTTTTTAGAGCTGCAATTACTCCGAACTTCGTAATTGCATTTTTACCAATATCGAATTGGGGCCAGTGCTGTGATTCTCGACTATATCAAGTGAATATAATTGCTAAAAGAGAATGAAAAGGAGAGACTGTGCAATTTTTATTTCTGTCTTTGTAAAGTTTGTTAGGAAACGGATTCACAAAAAGAAGTCCTCGTGGCTCCGTCTAAAACGAGGATTAAAATGGAAGAGAAAACGTAGCCTGCCGGGGATCCATAGAAGACTACAGGAGAAACTTGGATGAAAATTCTAAGAAATAATATTTGTTCTTTCATTATTCCAATTTTATTATCAAATCCATAATATCCTTTGTCATATGGTGTCAATTAATCCACACCACAAGAAAGGTGCCTTGTTTAGTGCATGGTGCGAGAGTTTCCAAATAGTATTCAAGCGCAACCGGGGCGAAATGGAAATGGGGCGAAGTGGCAGCGGGGAAATGTAGCGGTTGGGGCGATACAATGGGGCGAAATGGTTAGCGGTGAAGTGACCTACATCAATTTTGCACGATGCTGTTTACATCATGCATGTGCAGCACACTCAGCTAAATAATCAACCTTTTGAAAAGTTCAGTTGGAAGAAATCATAGTGGGCCTATTAGTACTTTTGAGTAGGCCCAGTGGAGGCATTTTGTGTGTGCATTTCACAGTACTTTAACCACTTACTTCAGTGGTGCGGAGCAAATCAGTTCCAAATGCAAGAATCGGGTATTGATATGGAGTTCGATCTCCATTTGGATGATGACGGGACTTTTGATTTGTTTGGGGAAGTGAAACAGAACTTGAGCTTGCAAGATCAAGGTGACATAACCAAGTCAATGTCTTCTTCAGCAGCATCGGGGCCAGGAACTGGGATGTTAGAAGAAGAAATTAACCATGTCAACAGTGGCCTCATCAACGCTAACTTTTATGAATTACGAAGCACACCAGTGGAAAGGTACAGTAGGCCTATGCAGTTGTTATGCCCCAAGTGCAGCATCAGTCCCACCTGTAGTTGGCTTGTCCCGACTAGAGTGTTGTAGCTGGGCTGGTCCAACTGCAACACAGAGGGCCAGTGTGCATGTGCCCAGCATGTGCCAAAGTTACATTGTTTACAATGTCATCACGTCATGTCATAGATGAAGTACCATATTTTAGATGAATTGTGTCAAGTGTGAGATGCATAAACTTGGATAAGGTTTAGAAAGTTTCCACAGAAATTGGTCAACAATAGTTGGGGCCAGCCCACGTGCAGCACTACTGTTGGGACTGTCCCAGCAACAGTTGGGACAGTCGCTATAGTTGGGGCGTAACACAGACATGACAGACATATGGGGGAACTGGTCAATCGGTATCTTGGACAACTCATACCATCAACTCAACATAACTGTACCAACTTGTACCTTTGCCGAGTCGCACCTTGGACAACTCGTACCTCCAGTAAAGACAACTTGTACCTTCGTGTACAAGACAACTCGTACCTTCACAGAAATCAAAGCTCACTCAGAGCTTATTATTATTGTAATTAACTTGAACAATAATATTGTTTCTTATTCATGTGTTCATCACCCAACTTGCCATTTTGGCTACACTGCCTTCCCTGCCCGCTGGTGGGGTGACATTAATGTGAGACGCGACAACGTCGTGCACATGTGCACACGTGGTCAGGCAACTGACGCTGGTCAACTTGGCCAGCCCTCGTTGCATGTGTTTCAGAGTCTTCACCATGCAGTCCACCGTGATGTTGGAGTGATGTCATGTTTTCATTTACTTCAGAGTTTATAAAGTGATGTCAGTTGTAACTTGTCCAAAAAGTATTTTAATAAGGAAGGCAACCACCACCCCAAAAAATAAAAAACGAGACTAGAAACATTTCCCTAAAAATCAAGACATAAGTTTGATTAAGTACACCCCCAAAAAAGTTACTAAATGAAGCCATCATTCCCCCGCAAAATGAAAAAGTCTCATAACGATTTCCCAGAGTCATGCTTGAGAATAAATGGAAGTCCCCCCGCAAAAACCCAGAGTTTAGAGTTTAGGAAAGTCCACCCCACCACCCCCCAAAAAATGCTAATGAGGAAGTCAAGTTGGTAAATGGTCAGGGTGTTCGACATCCATCATGTAAACAGGTGGTGCAAACGCCAATGGCAGGCTCTACGCAGAAAATCATACTGGTGCTCAAGATCTCTCTGGAGATTTATGAAGATTTTTCCTTGATATGTTTGTCAGATCTGATCTTAAACATGCAGAAAAGGAAGAGCAAGAAAGTTACAACCAAATTGAGAACATCAAGGTACGAGTGGTATTAACTCAAGAAATGAGTTGTCCAAGGTATGGAGGACGAAAAGTGGCCATCTGCTTTACTACTAAGCCCTATGATAGAAAAGCATATTTTACATCCTAGTATCATGTAGTTTTTTCTTTTCCTACTTTCGTGACTTGTCTGCCACTTCAAAAGCGGAACAAACATTTTGCATTGTTTATTACCTTTAGCGCCCTGTTCCTGTAATAAGGAAACAAAGTCCACTTTCTCAAACTAAAATTTTGACCATTACTCAATCCTGATAGGCCTAGTTTAGGTAAATTTTGACAATATTTAGGTAAGAAAACCACAAATTTCTAACCGGAATTTGGCAAAAGACAACTGCTCTGTTGAATCACGCCATTTTGTTTATCGTTTGGTTACCCGACTCAGGCATTTTGGATTTATCAAAATGAATCTCCATCTAGGTGAAAGAACCAGACTACATTCGCTAATTTGTCGTCGTTTACAACTCTTTGGGGCGGTCATGTAAATTGCTGTTTTACTCCAAATTTCCCTCAAAAACCAAAAGCTTTGTTCTCTTTTCTTTTTGGTATGAAAGAGGACATCACCAACAACGTGTATAGAGGTTGTTTTGAAAAAGTAGAAATTGTTCCCTTATAATAGGAACAGGGTGCTGAAGGTAATGAACACCCATTTTGCGGTAATTCACTTTTTTACAGCTAGGCAAGTAGGTATGGACGATGAAAAGTGGCCATCTGCCTTTTGACTAGGACCAGAAAAGCCGATTTCACGTCTTTAGTTTGTAACATGCAATTTTTTATTTTTCTGCTTTTTTGCTTCCAGAAAACCAGCACGAGCATTTTGTTGTAATGCATTTCTCTACTTTGCTGCTTTTCTTTTACCAGAAAAGCAGATTTTACCTTTTATCGCTTTGCTGGTGGCTGAAAACTTGCCATCGCTTTTTTGCCTGTCAAAAAGCGAAAAAGTGGATCGAACATTTTGACAACTGTTCGTTCTGCTTTGCTGCGTTTTGGATGCCGGAAAAGCAGATTTTAATAAGGCGGCTGGAATGTAGCCATCTGCTTTTCATCAAGCAAACAGAAAAGTGGATCGAACATGTTGACAACAGCTGTGAATTCTACTTTTCTGCTGTTTTTGATACAGGAGTAGCAGATTTTTCATAGCGTTCGAAATGTGGCCATCTGCTTGTCTTCATTCCAAGGGTTGTAAACAGGATGACTATTTCCTTTCTGGGGGATTGAAGACGTAGAAACTATAATTTCGGTCCACGCTCCCTGTGTAAAGAAAGATTTGAAAATGTCCAATGCAAGTCTTTGTGTCTATTGGATGAAAGCTTTAAAACTGCTGGCTTCTTTCTTTTAAGATTTGTTAGTTTTCTCAGCTGAACAGGGATACTAATACTGCCGCATGTGTCTGGGGGCTTTGACCCCCCCCATTTGGTCTACCAGCTAGACATACACATATATCCTTAATGGGTCGCACAGTGCACAGATATTTAATCATGCCTTGTCTGGACCAGTTGCATGCCACAGTATCCCTGTTAGGGCCACTTTGGAGGAGGTGGAGGATGGAATCCTTTTTCTTTGTGCGACTGTCTGTGTGACTAAACAAGGACTGATGCTGGAAGTGAATTGCAAACAGTTCTTTCCTTTGAAATTACTGTACCCAAAAATTTCTATCCCTTTACTTGGGGTCACCAATGTAACTCGGCATACATTTACAGTACAGTATACTGTATATGAGATATGCGGTAGATGTATACAAATGTTCATATGTACATGTAGGGTGTACTAACAAAAACTGACTACATATTTAACAAAGTCATTAAACAGAGTTGGGGGTTGAAAAGCAACTTGAAATTTGAGAAAATGAAGGCAAGATATGAACATTTATGTGGGAAAAACTTTATGTCCACAGGTAGTTTCCCACATGGTGAGCTTGCCAGCTGAAAATTGGAGAATATGTTCACAATTTTTTTTTTACAGCAACTCTTTTCAAAAGCCTATAATTCCAAAATGAAAGCTTATATGTGGTTCATTAGCTGTTTCGGCAATCAGCCAAAACAGCTCTTGCTTTTGTTCCTGTTTTTTTTTCTTTTTTTTCCCTCACTTTTTTTTCTCCTTATTCAGCTATTTTGGCAGTTAGGAAAATCAGACAAACTTCAAAGTCGGCAGATAGTTGAACAATTATCCAAGGATGGTCCTAGAAGAAATTCACAATGAAAACTTAATTAGTTTATTTGTTATTGATTTTTGAATAATTAATCCTCCCCGTAGACTTTGTACACAGATTGCACGCAGTTTTCGGACTGTGCTATATCAGGCTATGAGGGCGCTATTGCAGAATTACGGTTACACCTGCCTGGTCTTCAATTTTCAACAAACTGTCCTATATTGAACAATAGATGGCATTGTTGCACAAGAACGTTAGGACTACATGTACCTGAGCTTCGATTTTTGTCGATCATGTGTGAGCAGTCCCTAACTTTGACCAAGAATTACCACCAGAATGCAAGAGAAATCAGACTAAATTTTCCCTTCATTTCGATTGCAAATATACCTAAGACTCAGATTATTAAATAATATTTCATCATTTTTGTCCAGCTTAGACAAATATCACGTGACAAAAAATTAAAGGAGCAGTTTTCCTGCACACATGTTTCTAGCCCGTTGTCTTTATACACGTTTTGGAGCCAGAATTTGGTAACTTTGCAATGTTTGATCCTTCCCAGACTGATAGTCCACAAAGACCCTGATGCAAGATTTATTGCAAAGGGATGGGGTCATGATGACATCATCACCTTATTTTATACTGATTTTTGAATATTTTATTTTTCCCCATAGGTTTTGTACACGTTTTTCTAATTGACACTAATCAACGGGTAGTCCTTTACTTCTATGCAAGATTACTATAAGAACGAAAGAGAAAGCGGGTACTTTATGCTCTGTTATTTGACTTAAAATATGCCTAAGAGTCCAAATAGGAAGTAATATTTCATAAAAATTGTTCCGTTTAAGCGCAGTTCACGTGATATGAACTTAAAGGAACAGTGTTTCTGCAAACGAGTTGATGGCTCATTGACTTTGTACACAATTTTGGTAACTTTGCGATGTTTGATCGTTGACAAAGTGATAGCCAACAAAGACCCTGATGCAAGATTTTTTGACAATGAATGAGGTGATGATGACGTCATCACCTAATTTTATATTGATTTTTTTATATTTTACTTTTCCCTATTACTTTTGTACACGTTTTTCTACTTAACGCGACTTAACGAGTAGTCCTTTACTTCGGCTCAAGATTACTACAAGAACGAAAGAGCAATCAGGTCCTTTTGCTCTGTGATTTGATTTGAAATATGCCTGAAAGTCGGAATATGAAGTAATATTTCGTAAAAATTGTTCAGGTTAAGGGAAAATCATGTGACATGATCTTAAAGGATCAGTGTTTCTGCAAACAAGTTTATGGCCCATTGACTTTGTACACGCTTTCAAGCTACAATTTTGGTAACATTGCAATGTTTGATGTTGGCAAAGTGATAGCTAACAAAGACCCTGATGCAAGATTTATAGAAAATGACTGATGTCACGATGACGTTATCACTTTCTTCTGTAATTTTTACTTTGTTCAAATATGCAAGTTGCCTTATTTACAACTGAAACATACTGCTCGTATTGATTCATTACTATGATTAAAACATTAATGGTGTAAATCATAATGACGTTAAGTGTAATTAAAGACATAAAGTATTGTCATATTTACAGTTCAATACTGTGTGTCATTTTCACTTGTAATTTCCTTAATGTATATGAAAATATGTTCCAGTAAAGCAAGTGTTATATCCTGTTATGACATGTTGTTGCTTTGGTTATCTATTTACATGCCTGTCAATGGTTAATGTTCTTTTCAACGGCACAAGAAGTAGCATGTAAGTGCTTGCATTGGGTTGGATTGTGGTAATAGTATAAAATAAAGAAACAATAAATAATTTCTGCTGTAGAATATGCCCACAATTTATGCCAATGTATAAAATTTCACGTTCCTAAAGAAAACGCCGGTTTTAGTTTAAATAAAGACTGATATGGTTTTCCGACACGTACAACCAGGCCCGCACAACTCCATACTTTCTGCCTACACTAACACACATATACCAACACAACCCTTCCTCAACCTAATTCACCCTCCTCCATGCTTTATAACAATGTTATATATTTCTATTACAATTGTTTCCCTCACTGTTTTGAATACAAACTGTCGCACACAATTTCTGTCAGACAACCTAAGTGTTTTTACAGCTCCATTCATTTGGTGTAATGTGGATCAGTGATTTCCATGGTTCACTGTTATAAGTATATTTGATCAACTACTTACATGTACATGTAGGATTGTGTTTTAACAAACACGCAATAATATCCTTTACACTTTCTGTAAAACAGCACACTCCGAAACAGCCTGTGTTTGTTCATAAACACCACCTCTTTTTTTTCTTTTTGCAGACAAACCTTGGCCCAGATAACAGAAATAGTGTATCATAAGCTTACACTGCATACTCAAGACTCACCCACAATAGACACATTGAAGACTCAACTAAAGACACACTTATTCAAATTTCGAATAGCGCTTATAAATGCCTGTTTAAAACACTTCACAAATGCTGTTTTTTGTTATTCTTATTCAATTCCATCAAAAATAGCAATAGTTAAAAACCAGCATGTAAATCAGAAAAGGAGCTTAAGGAAAGAGTCTGAGAAGGGTTCCCATCATCCTATTATGACTGGAACTATCACAGTTTTGGCAAGTACATGTACTTGTATGTTTCACCATAAACCTGGTCCAAAATAACGATCATATATTTGGCGATGTCGGTCAATATTTCACAGTAACACAGCAGAAACATTTTGCTGCTTCATGGGCTGTGTGACCTTTGACATCAGCTCAGACAGTGGGCCCTCTTTCATTTGATATCCATGAGCCCCTCCACGGAAGTGCAGCACTCTGGGATGTTTCTATCCAAATCAAGGTTTCTGGAAAAAAGTGTTGTCAAACTAAATGACTTTTTCCACAAATATAATGTGCGAGACATAACATACATGTATGGTTTGTGATGAAACTCAAACGCTCCGAGTTCTTAATTTTGATGTATTTTATTACAGGGATTCTCTCTCAAGGAAATGGCAAAAAGGACATTGCGTGTGGAATTTTCGAGCACTACATGTATGTATGTGCACGTCAACTTTAGGTTATCGAATTCCATGGTGTTTCCAATGAACATGTTGTACTCACACAGGTTTTTTTGTTGCTGCCAAACTTTGGCTGGGTGAAAGGCATGCTTCACAGATGTAGCTGGGCAGTTTACACTAAAACACAGTTTTGTAATAGTGTGTCACAAAAAGACAGACTTTTTTCCCTTTTAAATATGAGATATTTCATTATATTTACAAAGTGAAGCATATAAATGTTAAGTAAATTAAAACTTGCAAATTAAACATTGTGCCCATGAACCAAGTTTTGTGCAAAGTTTGTAGGCAACAATGAACTCTATTTAGTCTTTTCCAATGATTTTTAATGAATACTTACATTGAATTTCTGCCCAAAATCAACAAACCATATTTTAGACGGGTCCAGTTATCACAACCCGTTTCACAAAAAGTTAAGGTCAAAAGCTATGAAGACTTTAGTCGTGACCATGGTCATGACGATTAAGGCAAAAAATAGTTCTGCTTCTGATTACATGCCTCTGAAAAATAGGGTTGGTACATGATAGGTCAGAATTCTATGGGGGGAGGTGCCAATTTTTTGTTCTGATTGAATGGCATGAATGGGGACAAAAGCGTCTCAAAAAGTGATATAAACCTGTCTTAATCTATGTACAAATTTCTACAGTCAACAATTCACAAGAATTATGGACAATTCACAAAGTACTATTCAGGTAATCTTGACAGCAAACTGGCCAACAGTGTCTGTGTATCGTGCATAAGCTTGCATGATGCATCCAGACAGGTGGGTTATAAAACTTGTGTCGCAGCAGGAAATTTTGTTGAAATATGCAAAGTACAAGCAAAACAATCTCAAATGAAACTTATGACCACAGAAAACACATAGACAATAGACCAAGCTCTATGAATTAACTTGCAGGAGTCCTCTCTTAACATTTTTGTTTTGTTTTTACCTGCAGCTGTAGGGTTGCATGTGTGTACGGCCAATGTAGTGTAATGGACTGGGACGTTTAGAATGATTGGCACATTTCCATCCACTCTCTTTTGCATGGGCGCAGCGCGGCGGGAACTAGTGCAGCATTGCTTTTATGCATTGAGATTGTGCACTTGTTTTACCACTGCAACAGCGAAATGGGAAGGGAACTTGTGAAAATAATGAAAGTTTCTTTTTAAAAATTCCCAATGTGAGTAGGAGAACACAAAAACGACAAGCAGTGGAATGTCGATCCGTGTTTCAGGGCATTATGTGGCCTGATTGCTCTAGGACCATCTATACATAAGGGTCTTTTGTTTGTGTAAGTTTGATGGAGATACATGTACAAGATCACTAAGCGACCAAAGTTAAAAAAACAGAAAAACCATGAGTGAATGGAGCTTTTGGAGAGAAGAATGAGAGATTTTATGTCTATTTGGAACAATACAGGGATTTTCCATACTAGTTTTTGAAATAATGCATCTGTCAAACATGTCAAAGATGCTTGTATGCTCTAATACCAGTGAATACATTGAAAAAAACTTAACTGGAGTCTTCNTGTACATATTGAGAAAAAGCCCAGTTCAAATTACAGTCCTGTTTTTACCACAGAGAAGTTGTAAATGTATATTTTAGATCACTTCATGTCACCGTCAATAGCATAATCATGCTGTCACCTTGCATACATGTACTAAGATTGAACCCAGTTAGATTGACAGTTCTGTAGTTAATGGTCACTAACGTATGTACATGTATCTTTATAAATTTAAAATGATGCCTGATGTCATCTAGGCATCACCTTAAATGTAACCTAAATACACATCTTAGTCTACCTTAATACGGAGAGTGAACGAAGTTGCACTGACGGCTCACATTCATCTCACATTCAAGTAACTCTTGGTGAGTCTTTACAACTTGACTTTTTATCAGCTATAACATATCCTTTAGACATACAAAAGTGAACTCATCAGGACTCAAGGATGTCACCTTTAAGGTACATGTTTTTGTCCATAATATGTCATTACAGAACCCTCATTATTTTGACCTTTGACACATAGCACCTTCCAAATGTGCACCTTTAATATGATGTCACATGACCAATGATGTCAAAAGATTTTTAGAGACACTTTGTTTTATTCCATAGTTCCTCTAAAGTCCATACCCTCCCGAGGAAGGCCAGAGCACACTGACTGAAACGTTGAATTAACACTCACCGGTTCTTTTAAGAACCACACCTCACCAAAAAGAGATTGATTCCATGGTGTACCCGCAAACCTATTTCTCATTTCCCACACTATCATGACCAATAGCTGGTTTCCCCCTATCCGTTACCAACTAAAATGTTAATGTACTTTAACGTTATGTATGCATGTAGATCTCATCTTTGTGTACGGGCCCCAGGGACGTGTGATACGGCATTGCTTTGACTCGACATGACTGGTGGAAATTCCACTTCCTCCACTCTTACATTTTATTGTTGTTCTTTATTACAAATGTTCATTAATTAAACTGTACATACATCTTACTTTCATAAACATAAACTTCTGAAATCAAATTCATAATAAAAAGTATGTGTATTTAAACAAAAAGTTATGCATACTTGTATACATGTACGCTCGATTATTAATACATGTACATACGTCAAGTAGGAAGACAGCTTTCACATAAGATGAGGTTCGGATAATATGAGCCAAGTTTGTAAGTCCCAAGTCTCTCGTACTAACGAGAGTCGACTGTACATAGATTTGCAACTTTCTTTGTTTTCCTGACTGTCCCGAGTCATCTGGATCTCATGTTTTATGTTGAGCTGGATCTGACCAGAAGCATGAGTTCATGTATTGTTAGGAATATGTAAGAGAACATGTACATTTACATGTATGTACTTCGACATGTAACGGTACACCTATGATAACAATGAATTTCTTTCACCTGCACCAGTAAGAAAACCCACCCCCCAAGTTCCAGTGACAGTGTGAGTATAGAGGTCGGGTACATGTACTGTACATGTACCTGTATATACTGCAGCCATCCTCGCTTTTTGTTGCGAGGAAATATGCACTAGAGGTTGCAGTCCACTAATTCAAGCCCCATTGAAAACAGTGTGCAATCAGCATTGTTCCTGGATCAATAACATGCATACATGTAACAACATCCCTGGGGTTTCTAACATAAAACAGCACATTATTGTTTTGTCCCTAATCTTTGAATTTCTTTTCATTTCTTGTGGGTTGACCAATTACATTTTTAATTATTCACTGAATAGTGGCATCCTCTACTTTATTGGGAATTTAGGATCATTTTTCAACCATATTTTCTATCCCCCTCGCCGGATCTGATCCTCCTTGCTGGATCAAGTGTAAACACAGTGTTATAAGTAAGCTTTTGTGTAATTAACTGAAAGATTTTTAATGTCCAAAATTTTTCAGCTCCGCTTTACAGAAAGAATTTTCACCAGGAGCGATGTCTACAAGAACAAACTTCAAGCAAGAACTGATGCGGCAACATATTCAAGAAATAGAAAAGCATGAGCAAAGACAATCTCGAACATCCCCAATGTTAGCCACACCAGCAATCGACCTACCAAAGCTCTCCACAATTCCAGAAGTTCCAACAGATGTTTTGAAGGTATGTACCTATTAGTGCATGCAGTAAAGTGGCATTCATTCAGAACGTTATTAACAATAATCTAATAAATCGATGAAAACAAAATTGTTGTTGACAGATCTACATTTACCAGTTTTTGTTTCCACAAAGTTCTACTGCAGTTGCTAGATTTCAGGCAATTCAAATTTTAGATGCCATTGGTACCATCCATGTCAGTCCTCTTCTACATGTACACGTACATGTCCATGTGCCTGAAATTTCAGTCAAAAAGTATCAGAGCCCACTTTAACATGTCCCTGGTAAATCATAAATTCACCTCTGGGTTCTAGACAACAGTGGAATCCCTTACATCACTAGCAAACCTAATTATGTGTACTCATATTTTTGAAATGGGTGATGTATGTACAGCTGTGCCATGACCATGAGTACTGTTCGGTGCAGTGTTATAAGTTGAGTCCACCACTCTTAAGTTTGAGTCCAACTGATTAGAGTCGAAGTCTGAATTAAGTTCAAGCCCAAGTGCAAAAATCTGGGTCTGAGACCTTCAGTAAAGAAAGTATTGTCATACATGTTCATTGAAAAACATGGACATGCACTCTACACACCCTAATACATAGCGGTACAAATATTTACATTGAAAATTATAGAATTTTAGATGGCATACGAGTACATGTGCTATTCTGTGAATGGCTTGATGTGTGTGCCTTAAAACTTGAGATTAGGCCCCCCCCAAAAAAGACTCCAGTTTCTGGTCATGGGCTTGGTCCAAAAGTGGTACGGTGATGACTTTCTTTTCCCCTCCCTTTTTTTTCCCTTAGAAGTGATGTACATGCACATATACCGGTACTTTAGAGCGCATGGCCTTGTTACTATGAAAAGTGTGAATGAACAACTTTGAATTAGTAGAAAGACCATGAAATATGACAAGAGGTAATGGTTTCAGTCATCTCACTCAAACAAGAGGCTTTTTATTCTTGGCAAGATTGAGCTTGTTAAAATACAGTAGCACAACCACAATGGAAAAATTAAATGTGAAAAATAAATGTCCAGTTCCAGTTTCTGGTTTTAGATGAAATTCTCATGAGGTAGCAGTATATGAAATTCTTTGCAGATTGTTTTCTGCTTTAGCGTAGAGGCAACAAGTTGCATGTCAAATATCCTATGACAAAAATAATAAATGAAAGCAGTTCTGCCCCAAGAGTCAAAATGAAATTCTCATGAGGTAAATGATATACTGTGCACATTGGTTTATGTTTTAGCATAGCTTACATGTATAAGAAACAAGTTGCATATAACATAGTGGGGAAAAATTCAGCTCAGAAAATAAAATCTCCTCTCTCTCTAATCTACAGTACCTTTGTTCTTGGCAAGTGACGGTGCATGTTACACTAACATAGGCTGAAACAAACTACATTTTCTATGGAACTGTTTTGGATACTAATCTTAACATTACCTACATGTGAAATAACAGTATGTCCCTGCTGGTACATCTGCATGTACATGAACACGTACATGTAGGCTTACAGAAAATAGGAGCACATCAAATATGAAAAAGAATTTCAAAACAAATTTTCAGCTCCAGCATTCAGGGAAAATAGATTTTTCATGAGGTTCATTGTATACTTTGCAGATTGGTTTCTGCTTTAGCTTGCCAAAAAGTTGCACATCAAATATGGAACAAATATAAAATAAGGAAAAGTTCAGCCCCAGAGTCTAGTTGAAATAAAATTATCATGAAGTATATGGTACACTTTGCACACTGTTTTCTGCTTTGGCTTAAAAAAAGTTGCATACCAAATATGGAACAAAAATAAGAGAAAGTTCAGCTCCAGAGTCCAGACAAAAATAAAATTTTCATAAGATAAAATGATATATGTGTATTCTGCACATTGATTCCTGTTTCAGCTTATGTGGTAACAGTTGCTCATTCAAAATGGAAAAAAGAAATATTCAGTTTCCTCTTGAAAATGAAAAAGATTCTCTCAGGACAAATTCCACCTTTGCTCTTGGCCATTGACAGTGCATGCTACAGTTTACTTAGGCTGAAATAACTAAAATGTTTTCTTCAGAACTGCTTTGGAAACTTATCATAAAAGTCCATGCAAGTGGGATAACAGTCTGTCCCTACTACCCCATCTACAAAGTTCTCTGCAGTACAACAGTGACAGCAAATGTGAGAGAAAATTCCAGACAAATAATATGGAATTTCCACAGGTTGGTTACATCTTACGTCTTTGCGCGCAGAGACCCGAGTCAAAATATGAGTGTCACCATGCTCATCGCCACATGTGTAGTCAACATTCGTGAGGGCTGCATCCAGTAGGTATTCAAGCTCATCTTTTTTCATCACCTTGGCACTGTGAACAACTCTTGGCTTGTCACCCTCTTGGCAAGTGATTGTGCGCTTGCTCTGTGCTGTCTGAGCACTCGGGCTGAAGTTCAGGTTGTGCCCTTCATTCCTGCCTCCCTTTGACAAGGATGGTCGATCCTTTTCATTTCTGTTGTAAGTGTGCCATATACCGTGTCAAAGGGTTTGTAGTGTGCTCTAGCGTGGCCTAGAACTAGGTCTGGCAAAAAGTGCTGATCAAACATTTCTCTCTGAAGTTGGGAGGGGGCAATGTGGAAGGTGCAGGATGCATCTTTGCACTTCAGAATGCAAAATGAGAAGTGACCTTCTTTAACATTGGCTTCATAGAAAGTTTTGTACCTAAATAGTCCTCTCCTGCCCGTCCTCCCCACCTTGGCTTCGACATTTCAGTCACTTTCAGAAAGGACGATCATGGCAGTGAGACCGCATTGCATTGAGGGAGGTCAGGGTGCACCATGGGTGATCAAATTTTTTCAACGAATAATAGGCACGTGGGAAAGTTGCATACATGCATGTAGTGACTGTTTTGTTAGGTATTCATCAGTAGACTCAACCCACACTTACTGTGGGGGGAGGAATTTGTGGTGCTTCCCTTCGGCCTTCTGATGTCCCCCTGAGTTTTCACATGTGTTGTCAGGTCTATCGCAGCTTTCTTTCAATGCCTGGATGACTGTCTCCAAGGTTATGGCTTCCACTCACCTCGTCTGCAACCTCTCTACAAGTCTGGGGTTCCTCATTAACCACGACAAGTTGCAACTTACATGTACTCCCAATCAATGTCCAACCTACATGTACTTTGGGGCAACTCTTGACCTCCAGCGGGTCAATGCAACTCCTACTCTGGATCATATTGCCAACTTGGTCACCTGTGTCAGTTTTTTCCTCTCTTGCCATCCAGCCCCAGCTCGGGCTTGGCTTCACCTCCTGGGCCTCATGGCAAGTCTCATGGACCTGGTTCCCTTCTGCTCTCTCTACATGCATCCACTTCAACTCAATCTGCAGGCACTCTTTCGCCCCAGCCGGGACCCAATAGACCTACCCGTGCTGGTGACGAAGTTCATCATCTTGCATCTTTGCTGGTGGCAGTCATGCTCCAACCTCACCAAAGGCCTCTCCTTCACAAGACCTGCTCTGCAGCTCATCATTAGAACCAACGCTTCTCAGTGGGGATGGAGCACCTCCCTGAGTCAGATCAACATCCTGGAACCCCAAGCAGTATTCATTGCCCTTTGCCACTTCTGTCTGACCATCAAGAAAAATGCATATTCATTCAATCCGACAACATGACGGTGGTCTCTTACATAAATCGTCATGGGGGCACGCCTAGCCTATGCCTCCTGACTAGAGAAATGTTCCTCTGGGCCTTGGACTACGGGATCAACCTCCGACCAACGCACATCCCTGATTCCAGCAACACCATTGTCGACACACTCTCCAGGGAAAACATCTGCCCAATGGAGTGGACCCTTCACCGGGGAGTAGTATGTTCAGTCTCTGAGGCTATAGATAGACCCCACATCGATCTTTTCCTTGTCACAGACGCCCAGCTGCCAGTCTTCTGCTTGAGGTTCCACAAACCACAAGCTTGGGCAACAGATGCTCTCCATCTCAGCGTGACTGGGATATTCGCTTATGCATTTCGTTTAATATCCCTAATCCCAGCCGTACTGTCCCAAATCGAGTGGGAACACTGCCGAGTCCTCCTCATCGCACCCTTCTGGCCTAACCAGCCCTGGTTCCCTCCTTTCACCAGACTTTTGTACCAAGTTCCTATGATACTACCACTCAGGCCGGGCATCCTCCACAAACTGAGCTGGGGCATTTTCAACCCTCAGCCAGAGGCTCTCCACCTGACCTGCTGGCCATTGTCGAATGATTGTTCCACTCAGCTGGCCTTTCTGACGACGCTGCCATGATGGCGGCCAGGAGCAGACAACAATCCACGTGCAAAGTCTACAACAGCAGACTTCAAAGTTTTAAAGTTTTACTTCATGGTGCACAGTATGAAGTGTGGCTCTGACCAACATATCTCTGAGGATCGTAGCTGATTTCTTCATGCACCTGTTCAACTCCAGTATACAAGTTATAACTATCAGCAGTTATCATTCTGCCATCTCCACCATCCACTCCGACTTTCAAGACGGATCTTCCATGTCAGACAACAACGCTCTTAAACATCTCTGCAGCATGTTCATTGAGCGTCCTCCTTTGATACTACTCATCCCCTCATGGGACTTGCCTCGGGTTCTGGAGCTTGTTTGTTAGTCCTTTGAACCTCTTGATGATGCCTCTCTCCTCCTCTCTTTGGTGAAACTGGCCTTCCTCTTGGCAGTTACTATATCTCAGAGGGGCAGCGAACTCCACGCCCCTATCCGATGCTGATGGACATATCCGCTGGGAACCCCACGGCTTTTGCCTCATTCCATCTGTGGGGCTTCCTCACAAAGAATCAAACTGAGTCCTTCCACCCTCGGGACTTTTTTTTCCTGACATTACCAAATGCTTGGGTTCTTGAGATGACAAGCCCTGGTGTCCAGTTTGAACTCCCAAGTGGTACCTCGCCAAAACCAGGAATCTCTGTGTTGCATCTTCTCAACACTTCATCACTTCAGTCAAGTCTCCCCGGCCCGCATCAAGAGACACTAGATGGGCC